CCACCGAAGGCCCCAGTGGGGGTGTTCGCATGCGGTTCCCCCACCCAGGGCAGCGTTTCGTAGCCCCATAGGGAGCTCCACCGAAGGCCCCAGTGGGGGTGTTCGCATGCGGTTCCCCCACCCAGGGCAGCGTTTCGTAGCCCCATAGGGAGCTCCACCGAAGGCCCCAGTGGGGGTGTCCACATGCGGTTCCCCCACCCAGGGCAGCGTTTCGTAGCCCCATAGGGAGCTCCACCGAAGGCCCCAGTGGGGGTGTCCACATGCGGTTCCCCCACCCAGGGCAGCGTTTCGTGGCCCCAGAGGGAGCTCCACCGAAGGCCCCAGTGGGGGTGTCCGCATGCAGTTCCCCCACCCAGGGCAGCGTTTCGTAGCCCCAGAGGGAGCTCCACCGAAGGCCCCAGATGGGGGTGTCCACATGCGGTTCCCCCACCCAGGGCAGCGTTTCGTGGCCCCATAGGGAGCTCCACCGAAGGCCCCAGTGGGGGTGTTCGCATGCGGTTCCCCCACCCAGGGCAGCGTTTCGTGGCCCCATAGGGAGCTCCACCGAAGGCCCCAGTGGGGGTGTTCGCATGCGGTTACCCCACCCAGGGCAGCGTTTCGTAGCCCCATAGGGAGCTCCACCGAAGGCCCCAGTGGGGGTGTTCGCATGCGGTTCCCCCACCCAGTGCAGCGTTTCGTAGCCCCATAGGGAGCTCCACCGAAGGCCCCAGTGGGGGTGTTCGCATGCGGTTCCCCCACCCAGGGCAGCGTTTCGTGGCCCCATAGGGAGCTCCACCGAAGGCCCCAGTGGGGGTGTCCACATTCGGTTCCCCCACCCAGGGCAGCGTTTCGTTGCCCCATAGGGAGCTCCACCGAAGGCCCCAGTGGGGGTGTCCACATGCGGTTCCCCCACCCAGGGCAGCGTTTCGTAGCCCCAGAGGGAGCTCCACCGAAGGCCCCAGTGGGGCTGACCGCATGCGGTTCCCCCACCCAGGGCAGCGTTTCGTAGCCCCAGAGGGAGCTCCACCGAAGGCCCCAGTGGGGGTGCCCGCATGCGGTTCCCCCACCCAGGGCAGCGTTTCGTGGCCCCACAGGGAGCTCCACCGAAGGCCCCAGTGGGGCTGCCTGCATGCGGTTCCCCCACCCAGGGCAGCGTTTCGTAGCCCCATAGGGAGCTCCACCGAAGGTCCCAGTGGGGGTGTTCGCATGCGTCTCCACTGCCCAGAGGCAGCGCCGCCGAAAACGATATTCACACTTGCGGTATTCACAGTTGCATATGGTTGGGTCCTTCGCCAGGCTAATTTTGACGTCTGCGAGCATAGGACGGTGATACAGTCGGCCTTGATTGGACAGGGCAGGCGAGAGGACACAAGACCCTTCCGAGGGCCACATCGCCATGGGAGTGTAAGAAGGCGCGTGTCGCGAGGCACAGGACACAAGGGTACCCTTGAGCTGGCAGGGTCGACCTACTAATCTGGGCCGACTGTAGCCAGATGGCTCAGGATGGGCTCCAGGATCTCCGAGGAGTATCTAACTGCCCGCCTCTCTGCAGCACGTGTTGTGAACCATGAGCGGATCTTGGAAACCCTGGAGATCGTGGAACGCATCATTATCGTGACCGCTTGCTCCTCTAGGAGCAGATAAGGCGAACAATTATCGTGTTGGGAGGAAGGGGGTTGGGAGGATGAAGGGTATGCGCAATAGCATTCAGATGCAATGACGGATACCTTCGGCCGCCTGCGGTAAGGATCTCCTCATTCCTCCCAAAACCCATGCTCTCAGCCCTAGAAACAAAAAAACGCCATAAACATACACTTTTGGCGCTCCGCGCGGGTTTCTTGGATCCGCGCTGGGCCCCCTTCCCTGGCGCGCGGAGCGCGCCGGGGGCGGCGCCAGAGGCGCCGCCGGTAGGGGGGGGGCCAGCGCGGACCCAAGAAATCCGCGCGGAGCGCCAAAAATTTATGCTTATGGCGTCATTTGTGCATCTTCGAAGCCCGATGACTGTCTTCTCGGGCCGGGCCAAAAGAGGGGGATAGCAAAGGGGGGGTTCAGAATCAGCTCGCGCAGCTGATTCTCCTGGCGCTCCCCTGGCTCCGGAGGCGGCTGTGTATCGAGGCATGGGCCCTTCGGTGGGGCCGAAGCCAGCTGCACGCAGCAGAGTTCGTGACCCCCCCTCTCCCAATAACCCCCCTCTCTGGCCATCGCTCGGGCGTCAATTCCCTCTGTGTTTTTTTTTCCGGTTTCGTGCGTGGTTTTTCTTCGCCGAATGATCAAGGATGCTCCTCGATGGTCCCCGCCGAAGGAAAAAATGCACACGTCCGAGCGATGCCAAGCTCTCGTCCGGCCCGATGGCTGTCTTCCCGGGCGGGCGCTCTGCGAGCCGCGGGGCGCGCCCGCCGAGCAGGGCGCCCCGTGGCGGCGGCGGGGGCAGGCGGCGCCCCGTGGCGAGGGCCCGCAGCGTCTGGGAGCCGGCGAGGCGCAGCTCGTCCAGCAGGCCCTGGCAGGCGGTGTGCTGCACGGC